TTTCCACTTCCCCTACGAAGCCCTTCCAGCATATACAGTCAAATGATTTTCAACAAGGGTGCCAACACCATTCAGCTGGGGAAGGGACAGACAGTCTTTTCAGTAAATGCTGTGAGAAGACTGAATATCCACATGCAAAGGATGTTGGACTCTAACCCTACTCAGGGTAATGTTTTGGTCGAACTTTGTCCTACTTAGTACAAGTATTTACAATTCACTCCAGAAATACATTTTAAGCTTTTATTATGGAAAACTCAGATATAAAAATAGACAATATAGTGAAATCTCATATACCCACAAAACAGCTTCAATAATTATTCTTTCCTAATCTTGTTAAATGTATTTAACCTGAACTCATACTTCCCCTCTCCTCCCAGACATTTCACCATTTAATCTGTAAATACTTCTCACTGCAGAAATGCTGATTTCATTGATTATGGGGTGCTGTCCATGATATAACTGTTCTCTGCGGGTATTACACATATCTCTTAAAAAAAAATTGATTTCCAGGGGCTTCCCTGGTGGCATGGTGGTTGACAGTCCGCCTGCTGATGCAGGGGACACAGGTTTGTGCCCCGGTCCGGGAGGATCCCACATGCCACGGAGCGGCTAGGCCCGTGAGCCATGGCCACTGAACCTGCATGTCCGGAGCCTGTGCTCCGGAACAGGAGAGGCCACAACAGAGAGAGGCCCGCGTACCGCAAAAAAAAAAAAAAAAATTGAATTCCAAAACATTGCCTTTCTAAAATCCAGAAAAATTCTGAGTTCAAAACCTATCTGGTCTAAAGGGTTTTAGATGAGCAATTATGGGCCTGTATATACACATATTCACATATATCCACACATATCTTTATTTTTTCTTATACAAGTGAGTTATTATACATGCTATTCTTTTGTTCTATTCCTGTGCTTTTTTCTATTAACCAGATAAAGCTCTTGCCATATTAGCATAAACAGAGCTACCTAATATTTAACTGTTGCAGAGTATACCATTGTATGGATATACCATAATAAGTTATGGTTATGGTAAAGATTTAAATACTGAAATCACTACTTAAACAGTACAGCAAGAAACAGTCTTGTTCATGGGTCTCTGCGCAGTTGTGTAAGAATATTTGATCCTGGGGTAGAGTTGCTGAGTCTGAGATCATATACACTTATATTTTTGATGGGTGTAGTCAAATTGCGCTTCAAAGAGCTTGCGCTAGTTTATATTCCCATGGACAGTTAAAGAGGGACTGTTTCCTCAGACTCTCACTAGTATCACCAAACTTTCAACTCTTTGACAATCTCCTAAATGAAAAAAGGTATGTCATTATTGTTTAATTTTGTATATATATAATTTTAACTGTGAGTGGGGTTGAGCAATTTTTAAAGTTTCTTGGCCATTTTCACTTTTATTTTCTATTTATGTCCACTCTCTAAATTTTTTGTTATTGAGTTATTTAAATGACTCCTTTAATAACGTTACTCTTTATTCTACACATAAAGTTTTATATAAAATTATACAAAGTTTAATATAAAGTTCAATAACTTTATTCTTTATACTACAAATCTTTTCATGTATTAAGATAATGAGTACATTTTATCATATGAAGTACATTTTCTGTGTATAATTTGTCTTTTAACCTTGATAATTATAATGGTTATATTTAAGTTTTGAGTTTTTATACAATTAAATTTATCCATTTTTTCCTTAATAAATTCTGGATTTTGTGTGATGTTTAGAAAGGACTTTCCAAACTATGTTGCTACTGTAAAGGTGATCTCTTCCATTATATTACTGAACTGGTTATTGTTTGCATAGGAAACCTATTGATTTTTTAATATTGGTTTTGTAAATATGATGATAATTTTGTGAAAGTATTTGTAGCAATAAAACATTACCATTGTAAGTCCAAAAGTTCACTTGAAATATCCGTTCCGATACTACCAGCACCAAGTACCGTTCCCGTAGACATTCCGGGCACACTAATGCAAGACTGTCTTGAGGATCCTAAATAATAACAGAAGGAAAGATTCAATAGAGGGCTTTAAAAAAACATATAACTTTGTTCAATATCTTTCTTTCAATTCAAATATATTTCCTATTTCCCTCTTTAAAAGTAAAAAACCAGTTGCATCCTAAAATGTTAGAAGTATTCATGCTAACATCACAAACATAACTCACGATGGTTTAAGATGCTTATGAAGAGTGATGTGAATCAAATATGTGGAAGGTCATTGAGGGTTCAATCATGACCTGTAACCTTTGAGTACATACAGTTCCTTCCCACTTTAACCTCCACACTAAAGCCAGAGCAATACCACTTTTTTTCTTTTATTGAAGTATAGTTGATTTATAATATTGTTAGTTTCATGTGTATAACAAAATGATTCAGATTCTCTTCCTTTATAGGTTATTACAAGATATTGAATATAGTTCCCTGTGCTATATGGGAAATCCCTGTTGTTTATTTTATATATAGTAGTGTATATCTGTTAATCCCATATTCCTAATTTATCCCTCTCTCCCCCGTTTCCCCTTTGGTAACCATAAGTTTGTTTTCTATGTCTGTGAGTCTGTTTCTGTTTTGTAAATAAGTTCATTTGTATTACTTTTTCAGATTCCACATGTAAGTGATAATCACACAATATTTGCCTTTCTCTGAAGTGACTTACTTCACTTAGTATAATAATCTCTTTGTCTATCCATGTTTCTGCAAATTGCAATATTTCATTCTTTTTTATGGCTGAATACTACTTTATTTTAAATATTTCCTAATACTTTAATTTTTCTTTACACAAATAATATATTAAAATATTCCTGTGGTAAAGAACTAAGATAACTCCCCCTTAGTGCTTTTCATTAATGTGACCAACAGATATTTGAGTGCCTTAATGTATAAGGAACTATGCCAGCTGCTGGGTATGATAATGAGTAAAACACCATTCCTACCCTTGAAGAACTCACAGTCTAGCAGTGAGCCAGTTGAGTGAATGAATAATTGCAATACAATGTAAGATTATAACAGAAGTGTGACCAAAGTACTGTGGGAATTCTGAGGAGGATAACTCAACCCACTGAAATCTTTTTTTTTTTTTTTTTAATGAAACTCTCTAGGAGTTAAGCCAGCATTTTATTTATTTATTTATTTTTGGCTATGTTGGGTCTTCGTTTCTGTGCGAGGGCTCTCTCTAGTTGTGGCAAGCGGGGGCCACTCTTCATCGTGGTGCGCGAGCCTCTCACTGTCATGGCCTCTCTTGTGGAGCACAGGCTCCAGACGCGCAGGCTCAGTGGCTGTGGCTCACGGGCCCAGCTGCTCTGCGGCATGTGGGATCTTCCCAGACCAGGGCGCGAACCCGCGTCCCCTGCATTGGCAGGCAGACTCTTAACCACTGCACCACCAGGGAAGCCCCTGAAATCTTTTTGTTTCACCTTGAAATTTTTCCCTCTCCAAGACAGAAAAAGATGGTAACTTAATAATAACAGTCTTAGTAATAAGTCTCCATTACCTAAAATTAAGCTTACCTTCTGATGATTGAGAGCTGCAAGGAAGCAATGATGTTTCTCCAGTATCACTATGTCCCCTAGAATTAAGAAACATCATAGGTGATTTTTTTTAAGGTGAAGGAAAATGTTAAGGCAACTACATTAAGCTCTGTGTATTTGAATTATCAGTTTTTGACCTATTTGTGTTTTATATACATATTGTTAATGTCACCACCAGAGACGGAGGTATTGATGTGCTAAGTACCAGGGCTTTTGCCAGATGTCATATTATCCTGTAATGTACATGCTTCCAAAGATACAAACTCTCAGCTCATATTCTAATGATACGGAGACAAGAATTATTGGGATGAATAATAGAATTATTGGGATGGGTAATTAGTACCTGCTGGAGGTACTAAGAATTGGGGGGCTCTTTTTTAAAATATTGTACATAAGGAAATAGAATTGGTTTGATAAAACCTTATAGCAATTTTAAAGAGAAACATAGAAAAATAATACTTAGAACAAGGCCATGCTAGCATATTGAGCAAATCAGGAAAAGCTGGCTCTTCCTTCAGGCTGACACAGCCATAGACCAGGGCTTGGAAGGCAGTGAACGGGCTGGATTTGTGCTTATCCCTCAGCCAAGTACTCCTGCACAAGCATATGTGCTCCCAAGGCTCAGAAGATGGACATGCAAAAATGATGTGGAGGGCAAAACAGTTTCTTACCATTTTAAACAGTTTAAAGCCACATCCACATAGTTTTTTGGAAGGACAAAGCAAGAAGGGTACGAAACAATTGCCTGAATAAATGCATTTACTGTCACCTTTTATACTACGCCAAAAGGAATTTTTTATAAAAGGGCAAACTTTTAGCTTCATTCTGAGAACTAATGCCAATGAACAGTGAATAAATTACTCTAAATATATACCCAAAGCCAGAGGATCACACAGGGTTTTTTTTTAAATTGAAGTATAGTTGATTTACAATGATTCAGGGGTACAGCAAAGTGATTAATATACATATATGTATACACACATATTATTTTTCAGTTTCTTTTCCACTATAGGTTATTATAAGATATTGAATATAGTTCTCTGTGCTATATAGTAGGTCCTTGCTGCTTATCTATTTTATATATAATACTGTGTATCTGTTAATCCCCAATTCTCGATTTATACCCCCCTTCCTCTTTGGCAACCATAAGTTTGTTTTCTATGTGAGACTATTTCTGTTGGGTAAATAAGTTCACTTGTATCATTCTTTAGATTCTACATATAAGTGATATCTCATGATATTTGTCTTTCTCTGTCTGATTTACTCCACTTAGTAGGATAATCTCTAGGTCCATCTATGTTGCTGCAAATGGCATTATAAAGCCAGAGGATCAAACAGGTTTAATGATTTAACAAGATGAAAAGAGGGAAGCAAAGATACTCATTTGAAATCAATATAAAGGTCTTAACAACATAAAAAATTACTTACAAAACTAAAGTGTTGACAGACACAATATATTCCAGTTCTTTGGTCCAAGGATTTGTGAAACTAAACCACTGGCTTTTTAAAGTTACGAAAGAGCCATCTTTTGCTCTGAATTTATATGAGTCTGTAAATATTTTCTCTTTACTCTGCAGAACTTAACAAGAAAAGAAAATAATCAGCATAACAGTCTACCACTATATAAATCAATCCCTTAAGGATTAATTCAAGGTTCAGATTTCACAGGAATGAAAAATTAAGAGTTGAAGTTGTAATTAAAAGGTACCAAAAGACGATCCCACTCAATGCATACCTGCTTTGTGCTTGTCAGTCAAATTACTATGGTCATCTTGATGAAAATATTCATAACAAGAAGTTCCCAAAAGTTCCTGAGGCAGATATCCTAAAACTGCTGTTGCCCTGGTTTTAAAATTAAAAATAAAGTTCAGAATTGGTGAATGTGTCCCCTTCCAGAATACTGTTGGTCCATACATGGTCAGGATCGTAGAGAAGCAGACCAGGGGGATGAGTAACCCATTTGCTTTACTGGGCTCCTTTGGATGCCCTAGACCCAGATTAGAGCTGCAAAGTAGAATGGACACCCAGGCACCAGGCTACTCCAGAGGCCACCTACCCAATCCAGGGTATGCTATTCCTACCATTCACCAATAAAACTGTGGCCATAGACCATGCCCAGTTTCTGCACCATTGGCTAAGAAATATTTCAAGTTTACAATTTGGCTTGAACAAATTTACTGATATATGCATATCCTTATTTCATTTAAACTTTATTTCCTGTTCTAAAGCCTTAAAAAAAAAAAAATCCAGCAGTGCTACTAAGCCGCATTTTTTTTTTTTTTTTTTTTGGTACGCGGGCCTCTCACTGATGTGGCCTCTCCCGTTGCGGAGCACAGGCTCCGGACGCGCAGGCTCAGCGGCCATGGCTCACGGGCCCAGCCGCTCC